AAAAAAAAAAAAAAAAAAAAAAAGATTGCACTAATTGATAGCATTATAAGTGACATTTTGTGACACTACTTACAGAAATGTTGTTCTCTATAGAGCTCACCTAAGGGGCAAACCACAAAAGCAAAAGGCGGGTACACAAGTCAATGCACAATGTGCCACCTCTTTTTTTGTTTCTTTTCTCAGAGAATAGAACCCCAAAAGCCAGAAATCTTAGTGGTGGCCATTTTCACCTGAAAAAAAAAAGCTTGAAAAAGAACCAAGCTTTACACCATAGCTCACCAAGAACTATCTCAAACACGCAGAAAGAGGTAAAAAATGGAACTAATGCAAATATTTTACAATATCTATAGATTAAAAACAAATTAAAGAGGTGTAACAAGTAGAAAAACATAAAGAAAGAACCTTGAATTTCGAACGAGACATGAATATTAAAACTTCATATACATTGTGAGAAACAAGGCAGAGATAGATAAAGGGACAATCTTGGAGTAAAAAAAAAAAAGCACACAAAAACCTGTGTGTTGAAGAAGAAGCTACCATGGCTACGTTGTCCTCTTGCCATTGAAGTTCACAAAGAGAAAGAAATTTTCAAAACGGGTGCGAGAATTTCGGAAGGCCCACCAGAAAAAAAATGGGTTCTTGGCTAATATTTTGTACTATTATTATATGCTACACAACAACACAACACTATGCATACACACACGGCCCGGGCCATGGCCCATGGGCCCCCAAAATAAAAAAGAAAAAGAAAAAGAAAAAGAAAACAGAGGTCAAGTCATGCTCTTGGAGTTGGGTTTGGGGGTGGTTGCAGTAAATGTCATTGATTATCAAGGTGAAAATGAAATGCACGCCATCACATTGAAGACAAGAGAAATTTAAAAGGAGACGAAAGGGGTTTAGCGCAGTGGCGCAAACCTCGCTTGGCGTAACCCAGATCTCGAGTTCGAGTCACCGAAGGGTATTAGGGAATCAGTATTAATCCTCCTGTGTGTGTTAAAAAGAAAAAAAAAATTAAAAGGAGAAATTATTTATTAGTTATTAATATTTATTTATCTGCAAACTTTGAAACCCAAATGAAAGGTACCCTTATAGTTATTATAGGCTTATAGCTAGCTAATAAACGAATCAAACTACTTGCAAGTTCAACTCAACCAATTGAAGAAGTATAAGGTTGGACTCGATTCGTTTGATAAATGAGTCGTCGAGCAAGCTAGAACTCGACTTGGCTCATTAACCGCCTTAAGTGTCGGTAGCTAAAAGAAAAGGAGTTTTTATACTACACATAATTCGCCTCGTCAAGGCTCGTTAATAAGTCGTGTTCGAGTTTATTTATCGGCTCGATTCAAATAAGGACTA